GGAATTTTAATTCGACCATCATTTAATGTCGCTGAAATATGAGAACACCAACATGAAACACAACATTCAAATGTACAACATGATGATGATAATAAAATTGCTGCTTGAAGACAAATTGGACAGGACATCAGAAAATATTTTTCTGCTCCAGCTAATATTCTAGAATGAAATGAACCGGTAGTAGTAGTTGATTCATCTTCATCATCAACAGAAGCATTAACAGTATCATTCTCTTCATCAACGGGCAAGAATTCTTCATCCAAATTTTCACTAACCAGAGTTACAGTCAATGGTAATGTTATATCACTTATTAATTGTTCATGTTGAATAGCATCTGCATCAATATCAGCCATTATTAATGGAGTTGTAGAAGTAGTTAGCATTATAGATTGTGGATCTGCCGGAATAATATCAAGTGTATTGGATACTGCACATTGATTAAGAGAATTTACATGACAAGTTTCTAAAGGGATTGATTCTTTCATTATACTTGAAGTGGATAGAGTCTCAACTGGATTAAATGTATTTTGTTCGATCATCTGAAAGAAGAAGTAAACATATAGCGATGAAACACAATCTTAATATACGTTTATATAAAAATATTTAAACGAACATATAAACAATTGAACAACAACAACTTTGACATTGATTTACTCACTCTTTTTTCTTCTATTGTACATAATTATGATCATCAATGAACATACCGTGTGTGTATATATGTCTTCATATAGGTTTCTCTAAACAAGATTGTTTGCTTCTGTTTTCTTCCTCTCTCATTCTTTTTCACCGTCATACATACGATGTATGTATGTATGTATGTATGTTGACGACATCGAACATAAATTATAGTTAAACATGATTTGTCTTTACTTATAAAATGAGAAAAATAACTCGTTGCGCTTTCATTCTCTTCTCTGTTTAAATGTACTCTCACTCTTAATAAGAAAATGTGCTTTTTGTTGGAGAATATGTGGGTTGTAATGCTGTCAGAATAGAAAAATAAAACAAAATCTTTTTTTTTCTCCAGATGCCACATCACACATAAATAAGAACGATAGAAAATATCATTCCTACAGTTGTCATCTCAACAGAATGGCAAAGTAAGAATATCTTATAAATTATTAATCATCGATGAGTCAAAATGTGTCATCAATATTCATAGTATCATATTTTGTTTTAAAAGTTTTACTTGGTTATTTACAATGACACACTTTCAATTATACTATCGATTTTGTATAAGATTAATTCTAATAAAATAAAGTACAGTATATCAATTGCACAAGATCCAAAACAAAATAATGTCTGAACAAATCTAAACATATGAAATGATGTAGTTATATTTATAATAAACGAAAAATGTCGTAATACTTGTCACATTTGTGTCTTATGATAAACATCAAGATAAAACATCAAGATATTAACTGAAATGTAATAATGTTAATTTTTACGCTGATATAATGGTTAAATTAGAACATGTTAGTCACGATTTATTTGAATAAGATAATGAAATTCCGATTTCCCCATCTACCTACCTTCTAATATCTCTTACATTAACGATTCATATTATTATTTTTTTTTGCTTAAATATTGACTTATAAAACAAAGCTACATGTTGTAATCAACCATAAACAGTTTTAAGTTCGGAATAATAAAAAACAAAATTGCATGAATGATTCATTAAGATAATAATTTATTTCTTTTTCTCTTTTTTCTTATCAAGTTACAAAAACATTATCGAATGTTTTTTTTTTACTTAATTTTCTCAACAAGTTTGTTTTTTCTTGCATTCAAACGACAGACGATCTTCGTAAATAATCTAGTCATATGATTTAACAAATAATATAGTTCATTTTTATTTAAAATCATTATTATTGTATTAACAAAACAAAAAAAAAACATGAAACAAACAGAATATTTCAAGATCATATCTTCGTTGTTGGATTATTAACTTCTACTGCCATTAAAGCACACACACATACAAAAAAACAATTTCAAATATAACAACAAAAAAAAAATTAATTATTTTAATTTAGAAAAAAAAATCTATTCTACGTAATGAGAAAAAAATTATTATATTGCTTGCTTTGGAAAACAATTTGTACATAGTTATGAATATACAAAAGAAAAACAGCGTGGTTAAAAGTATATTTGTACTATCACATCGATGATAACTAGGATAAAGGTATTATTTCTGTATTCAATGAATAATCTTAAAATTGTTAACGAGTTCTTTTCTGGTTATTATCATTCCATTGTGAAATTCTTTTTAAATAGCGTTCAGCAACTACTGCAATTAATCCTGCTCCTTTACCACTACCATCATCTGATACACTTAATTGAAACTAAATGATAAAAAAGAAAAGATTAAGAATATCTCGTAGAAATAAATTATTAAAAATTAGCATTAATCTATATCCCAGTTACAGCAATTGATCGATTATTTTGTTACTAGCGTACACTTACGATCCTTTATACTGTTTTTGTTTGTTAGATGCTGAGGATTCGTTTTTCTCTTGATTAGCTTGTGCTGCTCCTACCGTCAACGCAGCACCAATACCCGAACCATCATCTGCTAGTTTAAGTGCAAACTGAAATATACTTCTCTCTTTAATTTATTTGTCTTATTAGATGAATTAATATTATTCAAAATTTTAAAATATTTTCTAAAAAATGAATTTTTTTGTATAACATACCTTAATATTCTTATTCACTAATACTTGCATACATTTTTCCATATTTCGTCCAAATCTTGGATGATAACGATAAACTGAACCATCAACACCAACAGTAACTTTTGGTTTATTAATACGATTGATGAGTACAGCAAGACCTGTATATAAATTATGATGATTAAAACAACGAAACGCAATATTATATCGAGATGATATGTGCTTAGAGATGTAAAAGTGACGAAAACCGGCTCACCGTTAACCGTAGCTAAACGATAACCGTTTAGACCGGTGAGACGGTGAAATGATAACCGCTTGGACCGGTGAAACGGTGACGATTAATCGGTCTAACGGTGAAAGCCGGTAAACACTTTAAAACCTACGGTAGAGATCGATACTTTGGCACCATTAGTTACCGTTTTTCTGAAGGAGTATGAAATAGTTAATCTACCGGTCTTCGCCGTAGGTTTTAAAGCGTTTACTAGCTTTCACCGTTAGACCGATTAATCGCCACCGGTTTCACCGATTTGCCGGTATAGCGATTAATTATTGTCACCGTTGCATCCGTATATGTACTGTCGAATAGAAATTCAAAAGACGGCTAAAGGATGAAGAAAACTTAAGTACCAGCGTGCCCAACAAAACCCACTTTTTCAAATTTCATAAACTTTAAATAACTCATGAAAACGAAATGATATCAAGGTACGTGTTTTTCTGATGGATTTTTGAAATACCAACTCCATTCTAACAAAATTTCTTTATCGGCACCGTAGGAGGGTACTGGCATGGATCTGATGGGATGAATTGATTCTTCCTTAATAAATTTACCTGCACCAGCTAAACGAGCTGCTCGTCGTGAAACATTTTTACAAATATGTTGTACAATGGCACAATCATCATACGTTGGATTCCTTATACCAATATCTTCAAGAACACGTCTTGTATTTGAAAATCCTATACCTTCATCGATTTCAACAGTACTAACATATTTTGTATAAAATCCTCCACGTGTAAATAATGGTGTACTATAATCAGCATAACCTTCCCGATGACCAATAAATAATAAATCTAGTTGCATTAAATCAATTATAATTAACCGAACTATTTCACCCATATACATTCCACTAATCATTTTTTCAAAACTAAAATCAATAATATTATTTCATTCAATGATTTTCTTTGAAAATAAAAATTAATTTTTATTTACTAACATCTGTTTGCCTGGATTAACTGATGAAAGATCAACTTCTTCATCATATTTCGTTCGAATATGATTTAAACGACTATTATTACCAAATGCTCCCCATTCCATATTAATTATAACTTGTTTTGGTTCATTATAATCTCCATCCCATGTACCAACTCGATCTAATTTTTCTACATAACATGCATTTGTACCTGTACCTAATATAAGACCTATTTCAGTATAAGGATCTTTATATGCACATGCCATTAATGTGCCGACAGTATCATTAACAAGAGCTACACATTGCACATTAATACCCTAAACGGAATGAATGTAAATGAGTATAGTTTTTTCAATAAGATACTTTTTCATCAATTGCTGTTTGGAGTAGTTTAACAACATCTTCATTAACAACACCTGAACATGTAAAACCTTTTGTCCATGATGATAATCGTGCTGATGCAAGACCTTCTTGTTTACAAGGAAATGAAAAAGTAAAACCTAATGGATAACGAACGCCAGGTTTATTCAGTTTTTCTCTATTCATAAAATCCAATAGACAATCAGCAAGATGACGAAATAACTAAAAACTAATCGAATAGAATTATTTTTATGTATTAAATTTTGTTTACATTAGCTCCTTCACCAAGCATAATCGATTGTGGAATAACAAATATTTTTGAAGTTAATCCAGGATCGGATGGTGGTTTTAAATCAACAAGTAATACACGAAAATTAGTACCACCTAAATCTAATGCAAGTACTTGACCACTTTCTGAACCATCAGCTGTATTTCGAACATAGGTTGGAAACATTTTAACATCAGCTGTTGGATGTGTAGCTGGAGAAAGACCAGCATCAATTTCTCGTTCAAGTAATTGCATAATTTGTCGGAGAACATTGTCATCAATACGTAAAGATTCGAGAACTTTTTCGATCTATTCGAATACAAAGAAATTTGTCATTTCTAATGTAAATTATTCTAATCTGATTACTGGAAACTTAATTAAATATGAAGAATTAAATTATAGGTAATGAAGTTATCAAAATAGTATTTGAATATGATAGTATCCTTGTCTGTCTACATTTTTATTCTATAGAAAACTTGATGACGTTCTTTTTTGCTTTGAATCCAAAATTTTCTAAGTATTGAGATTCATGAATAGATTAGTTATAATTTATCTAGAGCATGTTTCGATTGAGATAATGAGTATGTGTGTTTTGTATAATTTTTAAGAATTATGCAAAATATTGAAATAATCTAATGAATCATAAGAGAAATCTGAAAATACGTTTGTTTTTATCTTATAGCTAAGAAATGACTTGCGCAAGATAAGACGTTTGTTTGAACTTTTGACTTCGTCTAGAGACTTGTTCTTATTCATTTATAAATACATGCAATATATTTCTATGTCTCTTATGATCTATAATGAATGAGAATAAATTTTTGTCTCGACTTTCTTGTTACAGTATTTCATGTGTCATAAATTATGTCTACAACTGAGTTAATGAAATATATGTAGTATTAAAGATTATATTTTTATGAATTATCTGGAGACTATGATATAGTACATTTGAATTACAGGAATCAAACTGTTAAGTTACCACATGCAGCGAAAATAATCATAGTCATGATAAAGAAGAAGAACTCTATAATGATGAAACAGCTATAAACATCAATAGAAAATAATTTATTTGTAATTATACTGACAAAATTTTAATTTATCGACAAGCAAAGAATATAGAT